TAAAAACTGCCTCATTCGGGGCGCCTGGGTGGTTCAGTGGGTTAAAGCCTCTGCCTTCGGCTCAGGTCTTGATCCCAGTGTTCTGGGATCGAGCCCCGCATCGGGCTCTCTGCTCAGCAGGGAGCCTGCTTCCCCCTTCTCTCTGCCTGCGTCTCTGCCTACTTGTGATCTCTGTCTGTCAAATAAATGAAAAAAATATATTAAAAAAAAACTGCTTTATTCCATGGCTGGCAAGAATTGGCAGTCAAGGGGCGCCTAGGTGGCTCAGTGGGTAAAGCCTCTGCCTTCAGCTCAGGTCATGATCCCAGGGTCCTGGGATTGAGCCCTGCATCAGGCTCTCTGTTCCGTGGGGAGCCTGCTTCCCCCTCTCTCTGCCTGCCTCTCTGCCTACTTGTGATCTCTCTCTCTGTCAAATAAATAAAATCTTAAAAAAAAATCTAAAGCAATCTACAGATTCACATCAACCCCTATAAGAATCTCAATGTTTTTCAGAAATAGAAAAATTCACCCTAAAATTCATATGGAATCTCAAGGGATCCTGAATAGCCGAAATTATCGTGTTTTTTTTTTTTTTTAAGATTTTATTTATTTGACAGACAGAGATCACAAGTAGGCAGAGAGGCAGGCAGGGGTGGGGGGAAGCAGGCTTCCAGCTAAGCAGAGAGTCTGATGCGGGGTTTGATTCTAGGACCTGAGCTGAAGGCAGAGGCTTTAACTCACTGAGCCACCCAGGTACCCTATGAATAGCCAAAATAATCTTTAAAAAGAAAAGCAAAGTTGGGAGACTCATATTTCTTAATTTCAAAACTTATTACAAACTACAGTAGTAAAAAAAACAGTGGGGTATTGGCGTAAAAACAGATATATAGACCAATGGAATAAAATACAAATGCCAGAAATAAACCATTGTGTATATGGTTAAATGATGTTTAGCAAAGATACCAAGTCCATTCAATGGGAGAAAGTGCAGTCTTTTCAACAAATAATGCTGAGAAAACTGGATATCCAGTTTTCTGAATATGCAAAAAAATGAAGCTGGACCCTTACCTTACACCATATAAAAAGTTAATTCCAAAAGGATCAAAGACTTAATTACAAGGGCAATAATTTTAGACTCTTTGAAGAAAACACATGGGAAAAATTAATAATATTGACTTTGTCAAGGACTGCTTGGATATGACACCAAAAGTTTAGGCAACAATAGATAAAAGAGATAAACCGGCCTTCATCAAAACTGAAAACTTTCGTGCATCAAAGGGCACTGTTGAAAGAGTGAAAGTAGAATCCACAGAATGGGAGAAAATATTTACAAATCCTGTATCTGACTAGGAATTCATATCCAGAATATACAAGGCACTCCTACAACAAAAGGGCAAACGACCAATTCAGAAATGGCAAAGTATTTGAATAAATGTTTCTCCAAAGATATACAAATAGCTAAAAAGCAAATGAAGATGCTAAAGATCACTAGCCAGTAGGGAGGTGGAAATCTAAACCACAATGGTATCATTCTGCACCCGCTAGGATGGTTACTATAAAAACAAAAAACAAAGTAAGTGTCAGTAAGGATGTGAAAACTTAGAATCCTTGTGCATTGCTGGTGGCAATGTAAAAAAAAAAAAAAAAATGTGGAAAACAGATGAGCATCTCCAAACTGTTAAACACAGAATGACCATATGATCAGGCAGTTCCACTTCTGGGTATATTCCCAAAAAAACTGAAAGTGGGGACTCAAACAGATACTTGTACATCAATGTTCATAACAGCATTGCTCGCAACAGACAAAAGGTGAAAACAACACAAGGATCCATTAACAGATGAATGGAGCAGCAAAATGCAATAAATACACAATAGAATATTATTCAGTCTTAAAAGGAATATATCCTATAATATGGATGAAACTTGAAAACATGCTAACAAAATAAACTAGACACAAAAGGACAAATACGACATGAATCATCTTTTATGTGTTTCCTAGAATAGGCAAATTCATAGAAACAGGAAGTAGAACAGCGGTTATTAGTAGAATAGTGGTTACTAGGAGAAGGGGGAATGAGAAGTCTGTTTAACTGGTACAGAGCTTCAGTTTGGGATAATGACAAAGTTCTAGAAATAGTGCTAATAATTGCACAACTCTGTGAATATACTTAATGCCACTGAATTGTACACTTAAAAATAGTTAAAATTGGGGGGGGCACCTGGCTGGCTCAGGTGAGTAAGAGCATGTGACTCTTGATCTCAGGGTTGTAAGCTCAAGTCCCAAGTGGGGCAACTGACTCTTGATTTTGGCTCAGGTTGTGACTTCAGGGTTGTGGGATTGAGCCCCACCTCGGACTCTATGATCAGTGTGGAGTCGGCTTGTCCCTCCTCTCCCTCAACCCCTCCCAAATAAATAAATAAAATCTTAAAAATTAACAAAGAAATCTTTAAAAAAAAAAATCATTAAAATGGTAAGTTAAGGGGCGCCTGGGTGGCTCAGTGGGTTAAGCCTCTGCCTTCAGCTCAGGTCATGATCCCAGGGTCCTGGGATCAAGCCCTGTGTCGGGCTCTCTGCTCCGAGCCTGCCTCCACCTCTCTCTCTGTCTGCCTCTCCGCCTACTTGTGATCTGTCAAATAAATAAATTAAAAAATAAAATAAAATCTTTAAAAAAAAATGGTAAGTTTATGCTATATATGTTTTACTACAATTTTAAAAAAATCCTGGACAGACAGGAAATAAAATAGGATATGTAACATATAAACTTAAAATATACGTGCCAATAAAATAGTGTTCGTATTTCAAGAGCATGTATTAACAAATTACTACAATTAGTAAGAGACAATAACTCATTCTTTTTTAAAGAGATTTATTTATTTACCTGAGAGAGAGCACGCATGCACACATGAGCGGGCAGAGCAGAGGGAGAGAGCATCTAGGGGGGCTTCACTGCTGACCATGGAGCCTGATGTGGGGCTCAGTCTCATGACTCTGAGATCATGACCTGAGCTGAAATCAAGAGTTAGATGCTTAACTGACTGAGCCACTCAGGTGTCCCAATCACTCAAACTCTGCAGTTGATCTAACAATGCAGCGCTGTTTCCACCAATACCCTAATGATATCTTTCTGTGAAACTGGACAAGGTGATCCTAAAATTTATATAAAACGGCAACTGGTTAAAAATAGCTCAAGACACTCTTGAAGAAAAACAACATGAAAGTATCTCATTTATTAGATATTAAGATTTATAAAATTATCATAATTACAATAGTGAGGTAATTAAGGCATTGTGTTAAGATAGCATATGTAATGACAGACCAATGGAATGTTTTAGAGAGCCTGGAAACAGGTCTAAGTACACAGACAGTTGATTTATAGTAAAAATGGTGTTCAAGAGCAGTGGAGAAAGTAGTGTTTTCAATAATTAATGCTAGGAAAACTGGATAGTCATACAGAAAAGAAAAAAGAAACTCAGTTACTACCTAACATCATACACAACATAAATCACGTATCTGTGTCTGTAACATAAAATAGTGAAAGTTTGTGAGGAAATACATGGGAAATATCTCCCATCTATTATATTGTCATAATAAACAGGAGAGAAAATAAAAAAGGAAAATATTGGTAACTTTAAACCCGTTGGGGCACCTAGATGGCTCAGACGTTAAGCATCTGCCTTCAGCTCAGGTCATGATCCTGGGGGTCCTGGGATGGAGCCCCACATTGGGCTCCCTGCTCAGTAGGAAGCCTGCTTCTCCTTCTTCCACTCCCTCTGCTTGTGTTCCCTCTCTCACTCTCTCTGTCAAATAAATAAATACTTAAAAAAAATTTTTTTTAAACCTGTTAAAATTTAGACTGCTCCTCCCTGTGTTCACTAACCCCAAACTATTCCCAATCCTGTCTCAATTCCTACCAGTTCCCCACTCTGAAAGACCCAACTTAAACCAACAGAGCCCTTACCCCAAATCTCTAAAAATACCCTAATTCCCCCTCCCTTTTAAAGATTGTATTTATTTATGACAGAGAGAGATAGTGAGAGAAGGAACACAAGCACAGGGGAGCTGCAGAGGAAGAAGCAGGCTCCCCGATGAGCAGGGGAGCTTGATCCCAGGACTCTGGGATGATGATCTGAGCAGAGGAAAGGCAGACGCTCAACTGACTGAGCGACCCTGGTGCCCCGTATACGCCCCCCTTTTCCAAAAAAAGATTTATTCATTGGTGGGGGAGCAAGCACAAGCCAGGGGAAGGGCAGAGGGAGAAGCAGACTCCCCACGGAGCAGGGAGCCTGAGGTGGGGGGGCTCAATCCCAGGCTCCTGGGATCATGACCTGAGCTGAAGGCAGACGCTTAACCACTGAGTCAGCCAGGCGCCCCAACATCCCCCTTCTGAATTCTCACCAAGATCTTATTAAGTTGATGTGCTTCCTTGCTACAGGTTTAATAACTCAGTTTTGTTTGATAAACAGGTTTCCTTGATGGTCTTTGTGGGCGAATAAAAAATTGACAGTCCTTCCCTTTTTAAGATATATACTGAAATCTTTATAGAAGAAAGGGTTTAACATCTGAGATCTGCTCCAAAATTAATTAAAGAAATAGAGAAATTATGTAGGGATAGTTAAGATCAATCATAAATTGTTGAAGGTGTATAGTGGTATATGGGAATTCATTATATTACTCTAATTTTATGTTTTAAATCCACTATAATAATTATAAAAACTTATTTTTCTCTTTTTTTTTTTTTGTCCTAGGAGGGCATGTTCATTAAGGTCACAAAAGAGTTACAATATCTGACTGTGACTGCCAGGCTCACACCCAGGAAGCACCTAGCCAATGATAACCGAACTCACACTGGATTTTGGAGTTCCACCTTGGATGGAAGGTAGGGAGGGGCAAAGTAGTAGCAGATTTGAACTAATTCTTTTTAATCTCCTCCTACTATAACCTTGTAATGTAGAACTAAGAGCAGATATTAACTTAAATCTGACATTTAAGTCTTGATTAAAAAAAAAAAGAGGGTAGGGAATATTTTTCTGTGCTTTCTTTATTCAGAGAGTGAAACTGTTATAGTCAGCTAGATTCTTAATTGTGCTTAGAATGTGCTCCCTCCTACAATTTACTCTGGAAAAATGAAGCTTCTTATTCTTTCTTAGAACCGTGGACCCTGAAATTGGCAGTTACTACGATTCCACATACATGCGGAGTGATGCCCAGTTTGAGGCTCTGAGTAGCTGGTCATGTAAGTTGACTTTTCTGTGCATTTGTACCGAGGAGGATCCAGTTCCGGTTGATGTCCTGGAAACCAGTGAGGCTCTCTCTTAAATCCTGAGGAAAGAGAGAAGAGAAGAGAAGGAAAGACAAGTGGAATCAGTCAAGAACAAGGACCCTTAGTAACTGGTCTTGCTCTTATTTCTGAGGTAAAATTTCCAAGTCTAGTGAGTCCTGTAAAAATTGAGAAAGAAGAATCAGGGGCACCAGGGGCTCAGTTGGTTAAGGGTCTGCCTTTGGTTCAGGTCACGATCCCTGGGTCTTGGGATCAACTCCTGCATTGGGCTCCCTGCTCTGTGGGGAAGGTTCTTCTCCCTCTCCCCCTGCCTGCCGCTCCCCCTGCATGTGCACATGCTCTCTCTGTCAAATAAATAAATAAAATCTTTAAAAAAAGAGAAAAATCATTTACTTATTCACTCATTCAGTTTACTTCTATTTGAGCTCCTTCCATGTTCCAGGCACTGAGCTATGTCTTGAGAATATAAAGATTGAAAAGAACAATCCACCTACTATGAGTTGAAAGTGGCATTTTGTTGTTGTAGCTCGTATCATATGTTGTTTCAAAGTAGTGTCCAAACTGGAAAGAAAAAGTAATCAGTTAAAAATATAGGAGTCTACACTTAATGTTGGGACATAAAGGACACAATGACATGAATTTTAACAGACTCTGTCATATTTTGGATTAACTAGAGGTCTATATGTTGTTAGTCTACAGTCTATTAACTTTCATATCCTTTGTTTACTTGTTTGTTAGGAGACACTTAAGGGCAAAATGCAGATAAATTACAAGTCTAGGTAGGCAGCCTGAGTAAGAAGACATATATGTAAAAGGGTACTGCTCATACTTTTACTACTTTGCTATTCTACTTGATAGTAAAATAAGACAGCCAGTCTAGCTAAAGACTGCTGTCCACCCCCAACCACCTCACTGAACAGAGAAGCCCAAGAGGTCTCAGCATGGAAGTTATTAGATTCCTACCTCTAAAATGGCCAGTGGCATTTCTTTTGCTAAGGGAAGGAAACAGAAGAGAACGTTAGATTACCTGGGAAGGCAAGGGTTTGGGCTTCACAATATTCCTTAGGTCATATCTTTCCTGATTCCAGTTTCCCATCAGGGTACAGTTTGAATAGGCATTCTCATTAGTGGTACATCTCCATCCATACTGGAAAAACTTGGATGTATCATTCCAATCTGTCCATACTTCTGCATGGCCATCTGCATTAATGAGGCTGCCATAGTGTGGGTTTGCTAGGAAATAGGCAAGGTGCTGTCTCTGCAAAAAGGTGAGAACAGAAAAGCTAGTTGCAAAAACTAGGAACAGAAAAGGCATTCATCCCTTTCTCACCCTTGGCCAAGTATAACATAAGCCCATCTTACTAAGGATCTAGGCTTTCTTCCCAATATAATAGTGGTTCTGTTTCTTCTCCCCTGGCCCATGAATCCTTTGATCTACTCAATCAAAAGTAGCACATGGCTATGTACATTAAATGCCACCCCCCAAAAGACAGGAAAACCTTCAGTATCCCCAATACTATATGGAAAACTAGTTGTATGTTCAGGAAATTTTGAGATGTAGGAGTTTAAGGACTAAGGATATTGCTATAGTCAAAGAGAATAGGGAAATGTGAAAGTTGGATAAGTAGATAACACAACAAAGGGTCAATAAACGAGTTTCCTTCTTTCTGGACTCAGCTCAAATGCCACTTCTTACATGGTATCTTCCAAGTTAACTTCTTTCCTTTGTCTCACACAGCATGGAATCTTTATACCTTTAGCTTTCTATTATATGTTAGAATTCTTCAAGTACGTGTTGAATCTCCTACGTTGAACTGTACATCCCTTGAGGACAGGCCCTGGTCTTATTATCATACCCTCTCCTTCTGCCAGCTCTCCCAATCAATGGTGCTTTGCACAGATCAGGTGACCAATGTCTGAATTTCAATCATTTGTAAGGAATCAAAAGCCTAGCCATTTTTATTTTGGGCCAAAAATGTCTGTGCTCCCTTGGCTTGAGGGCAAGACAATACCTTCACTGGAGAAGAACATTTTGATGCTGAGTGACTTGTGTTGTTTGAAGAATTTGTAGGAAAGTGACAGAAAGTATTATTCAGCTGTTCCATTTTCTTTAAAGGAAGAGGTATCACCAAACTTGGCCTTCCCGTTCTCCAAGCAAATGAAGAATGTAGGTCACACTGATCACCATGGCCAGGAGGCCATGATTTGGAAGTCACCACCAACCTAGCCACCTTTCCACAGGTAGGGACAAAGTCAATACTGTAGTCCCCATACCATGTACCTTTGTGAAGAGAGATGTGTGCACTGATGTCAACAAATAGCATGATGACTAAAGAGTAATTCCCGCAAAGTCTGACAAGCCTAGGACTCACACTGCAGACCAAGGTGACACTTTCCTTGGGGCTGTAAAGACAGGCGTCACCATCCACTCAGTTGCCCAAGCCCAAAACATGAGGCTCATCTTTAACTCTGAATTCTCTTTCAATGCCTTGTGTCTATCCAAACTCTAGGTCTTATTGATTTTTGAATTAGACCACTACCCTCCAACCCCACGGCCAATTTCCAGTTTAGATCACTACCAGCTTTTCTCAACATTCTTGGTGTAGTTGCCTCTCTGATCTCTGTGCCATCAGCCTTGGTCTTCTCCAATCCTTTTTCTATAGGAAAGAAGAATAGTGTGAAAATGAAAATCTAATTGTTATCTTCCTATTTAAAAGCTGGCCACTGTTACAGTAAGACTCAGGCTGTTAAAATGGCTTACGATGTTCTATATGACCTGGCTCCCGCTTAAGTCTTAAGTCTGCTTAAGTCTTCCTTAAGTCTTAAGTCTTCATTCTCCTCTGTTACCCACTCTCCAACTACATTTCAGCCAAACTCAACTCTTCTGTTTCTCCATCAAGCATTTGCAAATACTGTTCCTCCTGCCTCTTCACTTATCTTTACCCAGGTCAGGTGTACACTCCCTTTCCCCCTTAGACTTTTTTTTTTTTTTTTTTTTAAGATTTTATTTATTTGAGAGAGAGAGAGAGAACAAGCAGGGGGAGCAGCAGGCAGAGGGAAGGGAGAAGCAGACGCCTTGCTGAGCAGGGATCCTGATGCAGAGTTCATACCAGGACGCTGGGATCATGACCTGAGCAGAAGGCAGACTCTTAAGTGACTGAGTCCCCCAGAATTCAGGTTCACTTCATTTAGGGAATCTTTCCATTTCCTCCCAGAAGTTGGTGAGGTTCTAAATCCTTCTGTGCCCTACAGCACCCTGAATGACTCCTCATAGCACCACATCCCGTTGTGCCAGAATTGCCTCTTTTGCTGTGCAATCTCCATCACACTTTAAGTTCAGGCCACATCTTATTCATCCATGTACTTAGCCGCCCTCACAGTGGCCTCACACACAACGGGCACTCAATATTTCCTGAATGAATAAAAGGCAGGAGATAGAAGCACCTGGAGAAATCCCGAGCAGCAGGGACAATGGACAGTAGCCATTTCAGACGCGAGGAGGCTACCCTCTGTGACAGCAACAAGCAGGACACAGCCCAACCTCTCGACTTCAGCCCCGCCCTGTTCCTTTCACTCAGAACTCGCCTCTCCCGGGGTCTGTCCCTGTGCGGTAGTGACCGCTTGTGACCTCATGCAGGTGTGACGAAATCGCTCGCGGCAGTCGTCGGGCAAAAAGGCGTTTATTTTAACACTCCTGAAGGTGTGAAGGAGTGAGGGGACAGAGTGATCGATGTCTCGCATTCGCTCTCATGCCTATTTCCCCCTCTGAAGCCGCGGCACCAGTTTCTCAAGACAACTGGACGCTGTCGGTGCATCATCAATCAGCGACGCAGGAAGAAGAGGCCCGCAGGGTCCCCCACGGAGGAAGTGACGTAAGAAACTGGCGCCTCCGAGGACGCGAGCGAGGAGCTGGGTGAGGCCATGGCCCCTCGGCGCCTCCTGTTGGTTGGGGAGGGTAATTTCTCCTTCGCCGCCGCTCTGAGCGAGACCCTGGATGCGAGCACCCGTGTAACCGCCACCTGCCTCCAGCGCTCCGCCGACGTGGCCGGGAATCCGGTGGCCCGGGAGAATCTGCGGCGCCTGCGCGAGCGAGGTAGCGAGGCCAACCCCTCCGCGCTGCAGCCCCCCGCCCCGCCCCGCTGCTGGCTCGGCCCGAACTGGAAAGGGAGGGGAAGTGTAGGTTGCTTTTGAGCGTCCGGTTCCCTGAAAACCGGCTGTGGGCTTGGACCGGGGTTGTCTTGCACGTCCAAGTTAGGGAGGGATTCAGGTTTTGAGACACCCATCTGTCTATATTTCGTGCCAGGTACTGAGGTGCGTTTTGGTGTGGACTGCACCCAGCTGGCAGATGCCTTCAAACCGCAGCATAGGGAGTTTGATCGAATTTATTTTAATTTTCCGCACTGTGGACGAAAAGCTGGAGTAGCTAAGAACCGGGAACTGCTTGCCAAGTTTTTCCAGAGGTGAGGAAATGAGACCACTCACAAGTAAAATGTTTAAGATGGACCTTGCATAGTTACTGCACTCACACATTTTAGTCTGGGAAATAAGGCATACGTGTTTAAGTTACTATGATAGGTTGAGAGAGCCTGTGAAGCTCCAGAGGAACCCACAATCTAGTTGGGAAGGCAGACATGGAACCCTAAATGTTAAATAAAAGTACAAATAGTGTGTAAGCTTTTGGGCGTGTTAAAGAAGGATCACTCACCTATTTGGGATCATGCAGAATAATGGTAGCCAGAATAATCTCATGGCTAAAAGCATGGATTCAAAATCCCCACCCACCACTTATAGTTGTGTGATTTGGGGTAAGCTTATTTGGTCCTTACTTGCTTTTGCTTCTTTATCCATAAACTGAGGATATTTACAGTAACTACCTCAAATTAATGTGAACTTAAAAGAGTGCTTTAGGGACACCTGGGTCGCCCAGTCGTTGGGCATCTGCCTTCTGCTCAGGTCATGGTCCCAGGATCCAGCCCCACATGGGGCTCCCTGCTCAGTGGAGACCCTGCTTCTCCCTCTCCCACTCCCCTTGCTTGTGTTCCCTCTCTCGCTGTGTCTCTCTCTGTCAAATGAAGAAATAAAATCTTAAAAAACCAAAACAAACCAACCCAGTGGTTTCCACTATTATACCAAAACACGTGGTACTCTTGGAGGTCTCTAGAGGCCATAGTTGTCAAGAAACTTTTCACACAGCCAAGGTTTTAAGTTAGTATTTGAAATACAGAATTTTAATAGGAAAGGAGTGAAAAGATCAGCTTTCTAGACTGGGAAGAACAGCCCAGTCAGTGAATCATGTATAGGAACTTGGCAGACACTGACCTTTCTATGACATTAGATGAACAATGAAGTTACAAAGCCAGATAATACCCTGGTCAGCCACTAGTATCAGTTATGAGTTTTGAACACAGAATTTACATTCTTACTTCTTCCTCTGCCTGTTTGAAATCTATAGGCCTTTGTAAATAGATACGATTGGATTTTAATTATTTCACAGCCGAAGTAGGTATATACAATTTTCTTCTTATGGTAACTTCAACTTATTTCTGATAAACCACTAATGTGCTCCTCTCCCTGTTAGCTGTAAGGATGTTCTTGCAAATGAAGGCGAAGTCCATGTGGCGTTGTGCAGAGGACAAGGTGGGACTCCTGCTGATAAGCCCAGGAGAGAATGGCACAACAGCTGGCAAGTGGTTGCCATGGCAGCTCTGGGGGGATTCATTTTAAGTGACGTGCAGCCCTTCGGCTGTGAGGCTGTGCCAGGGTACAAGTGCACTGGATATAGGTGAGTAATAACAGACATTTAAGCCTTTTTCATCTCTTATACTAATAATGAAAAAAATCTTAGGCCAACTTTCCCCTACCAATTGCCTGCTTTGGTCTCTAAAAATACTTGCTTTTAAAAATAATGACAATAAATTAATTAATTAAGAAAATGACAGACTCCATACTTGGTGACTCTTTTGCCAGGAGTCAAGATAAGCCCTTTCATGTAGAAGGCGCTTTGAACCATATCTTCACCCGGAGCTTACCCTTTGAAAGTTCACAACCCAGAATCTTCAGGATCAGACTGGGTGACCGGTGGTTTTCCTTTCCAGAACCAGAAGCACTTGTAGGAAAGTTGAACAGGTAACCTGCTGTTTTACCAGAAATTACTTCTATCTCTAGCTGCATCCTGATTGGCTTGATGCCAACCGTGTATTGAATGGATGCTATATCAATTGTTAATGATGTTGGTGCTATGAATACTTGTCAGTCTGGCCTTACACAAGCTTTTTTAGAATTAAAATTTGCCTGTTATGTCCTACAAATGGTGGCTGTCAGAGTTCTGAAACACATGATATCTGTTTCTTGTAGGTAATTTTTAAAATTCGCTTTTAGGATCATTTTAAGGAAAATTCTTTCCTATATTCTTTGCGCTTTTCATTCTAGATCCATTATAATCATTTATTATTTGAAGTTAAAAAGTTATTTTTGTGTGTGTTTAAACAGAGATTTCCTAGCAGCGCCCTCATGTCATCCTATCAAAACCATTAATGAGAAACTCATTGCTGAATTGGGCAAAGCTTTCCCTCTGAAGAGGCTGCAGTGTTCCCTCCCTTCGCTGCCAGAGGGAAGCCCTCGTGTTCTCACTTCCTGGAACTGTGACAGTTTGTCCGCTGCCTTTTGGATTAGTCTCTGTGAAGATAACTCAAATTCTGAGTCCCTGGCTAGTGGGACAACACGAGACATGGAGGACTTCCTGGAGTTATTTTCAGAATTTAGCCTTCTCAAGGATTCTGGAAGAGACAGGAAGCAAGAAGCTCATGAAGAAATCTGTGGCCAAACCCAGGTCTGCCTTAGAACTTCTCTCCTAGTTCATGTTCAGGCTGTCATCCAAGCACCAGACTTCCTCCCAGGTTCCCTGCACGTTCTCAGCGGACCTGTCTTTCGGAAGTGCCACATCTCGCCTTTCACAGTGCCGGCATTCCATGAGACTTTATTTATCCTTGGGTTTAATAAAAATCTGAAGGATAGTTATCTTCAGTCACTACTGGATCACCTGAAGGGCACTCTCGATAGCCTTCTGAACCAGACATTGTTGGAGGGCTCTAAGCTGAGCAGTTCAGTGGAATTTGTCTTTCAACCAAATGGAAACGATTATATTATTAATGTGAAGTCTCATAATTTTGGCTCAGATTGTGCCAAGGATCTGATTATTGGGTCTGTCGCTACATCTGCTACAAGCATTGTACACAAGGACCAGTGTTTTATGTTTGTGTCTGTGAACTTGGACCTACTAGCCATGCTTGTCTGGGGTATCTCTGACTGGAGGATGTTGTGGACCTTTGACCACCGTTTCCTGAAGCATTTTGTTCCTGGGAAAATAGAATCCTTTAAAAGCTATTCCCTGTATCCCCCATGCTATGTGCATGATATTAGTTTTTGGTTAGATGAGAAGAAAGAATTTGATGAGCTAGAGTTTCACACAGTGGCCCGAGCAGTGTCCCAGGACACTGTCATATCCATACAATTCCTTAGTAGTTTCCAGCATCCAGAGACTCAACAGGTCAGTCTCTGCTATAGACTGACTTACCAGACATGTGACAAGGCCCTCACCCAGCAGCAGGTGGCATCAATGCAGTCCCAGTTTAGGAAGGAGATTCAGCAAAGGCTACATGTAACACCTCGGTAGTTTAGTAAATTTACTAAATTTACTAGTAAATTTACCGTGTGGGTATGGGTGCAGGTGCAGATGAAAAAGACCAATTTGGGGGTGCCTGGGTGGCTAAGTCGGTTAAGCCTCTGCCTTCGGCTCAGGTCATCGTCTCAGGGTCCTGGGATGGAGCCCTGCATCGGGCTCCCTGCTCAGCAGGGAGTCTGCTTCTCTCTCCCTCTGCCCATCCCCCCTGCTTGTGTGCACTTTCTCTCTCTCTCAAATAAAATCTTAAAAAGAAAAGACCAATTTGTAACTTGTAGTCCTTTCTGGACTGTGTTTTTTTGTGAAATCTTTACCTTGTGACTCTAGCCAATGTTGGTTGATGCTAAAGAAACTTGGGGCTCTATCACTTAAACTCATAGACTATAATGTGATTGGTGACCTTTGATGTTGTACCGTATTTTCCTGAGTCATGACTAGGAAAACTAACAAAACAGTATCTTGTACTTTAGATGCTTTATTCGTGAAGATGCAATTGAACTTCAGTGTCATATTTATATTTTTTCCCTACTGCCAATTCCTCTTCTTTAACCCAATATGTATTATCTCACTAAGTCAACTTACGAGAGTGGTTTTTGGAGTCAGACCAATATTTATTAGCTTGGGTAAGTTGAAAGTGCTCGATAATTGGTATTGGTATCATCATGATAACATTTATTCCATGGGTGATTACTGTTGAAGTCATGGAACTAATTAATGTCAGATTTAGAGTTCACACTTGGGTTTGTCTGACTCTAAAGCCCATGTTCCTTCTCCCATTGTTACTTCTTCACAGTCTTCACGAGTAACCTCTCCGCTGTGATTAAACTTTGGTTTCCTAGATGCTGGAGGCTTCTGTTGTAAGCATCTCTCAGAGACACTGGGAGATTGGCTCAGCCCAGGACTCCACAGAATGGAGTCCTCTAATGTTAATTAATGTATGTTCCTGTTAATGAATAGTTAGGCTCTGCAGATTGGAATTATATTGTAAACTCTTGGGAGGAAGTAACTGTCTTATTTGTTCTTGTATTTGGAGAAGAGCATGTAGAGGCAAGAATGGAAGCAAAGATACAAACTCGGAGGTAATTACGGTAATGCCAGTGAGCCGTAATGGTGACCTGGACCAGGATGGTAAGATGTTGTTGGGCTGGGTAATATTTAAAAGGTTTTGCTGATGGAATATATGTGTATGGATAAAGGGTGTGGGGCTAAAGAAACAGGAATCAAGCAGGACTGACTGTGTTTTTTGACCTGGAAGAACAGAAGTATCATTAACGAGGATGGGAAAATTGGCATAACATTTTGGGGAGTAGGGTAAAGAATCAAGGGACCTCTTATGAACACATTTATTGCTTGTCTTTCTACCCAGACTATAAGCTAATTGCGGGCAGGCAATGTGATTTATATTGTATTTGTTTTAATTTTTATTAGAGAGTACACACACGCGCGCGCGCACACACACACTGGGCAGGCATTGGGGGTGTTGCAGAGGCAGAGGGAGAGAGAGAATCTTAAGTAGGCTCCGCGCCCAGGGCTGAGCCCAATGTGGAGCTCCATCTCACGAACCTGAGCCAAAAACACCTATCAGACATTAACCTGCAGAGCCACCCAGGCATCCCTGATGTATAGCTTTCTTCTATCCCTAGTGGTGCCTAGTACATGGACAAGGTAGCGTTTGAGCTAGATCTTAAAATAAGGACAGTGCTAGGATGGGAGGATTGTCAGGCAAGGAGGACGTCCATTCCAGGCAGAGTTATAGATAAAGGAGCATTGGGGCACTTTTCAGGCTAGTTAGTTGGAATGTAAATGTGTATAGGAAAGTGGTGGAGATAAGATTAGAAAAGTAGGTTAGGGCTGGATTTAGCGGATGAAAGACAATGCTAGAATACAGATTTTGTACTTCATTTGGCAGGCAATGGGAGAACTGGTGATTTTTGATTAAGGAGGCAATACAGAGTAGTGCTTTTTAAAAAATTTTTTAAAAAGATTTTATTTATTCATCAGAGAGAGCGAGAGAGAGTGCAAGCACACAAGCAGGCAGAGTGGCGGGCAGAGGTGGAGAGAGAAGCAGGCTCCCTGCTGAGCAAGGAGCCCGATGTGGGACTCCATGCCAGGACTGGGATCATGACCTGAGCTGAAGGCAGAGGTTTAACCAACTGAGCCACCCAGGCATCCCCAGAGTAGTGCTTTTGAAAATTAAATGGACAGTGTTGCGTAGGATGAATTTGAGATGAGGGACCTCTGTAAGGATGCTAATGTAGTACTCCTAACTAGAGGCAGGGAGGGGCCTGCATGAGAGTGAAATGAGAAGGGGAATGAAAAAGGGATGTCTGTAGGAGATAGGGCTAGGTTGGGATGTCTGAACTTGGTACCTAATAATTGCCTATAGGAATTGAGCAATTTTCAATATTTGTGAATTTTTAAAAAAAGGATTTTATTTAGGTGTGCCTGGGTGGCTCAGTGGGTTAAGGCCTCTGCCTTTGACTCAGGTCATGATCCCAGGGTTCTGGGATCGAGCCCTGCATCGGGCTCTCTGCTCCGCGGAGAGCCTGCTTCCTCCTTTCTCTCTCTGCCTGCCTCTCTGCCTACTTGTGATCTCTCTCTGTCAAATAAATAAATAAAATCTTAAAAAAAAGATTTTATTTATTATTTGACAGAGAGAGACACAGCCAGATAGGGAACACAAGCAGGGGGAGTGGGAGAGGGAGAAGCAGGCTTCCTGCTGAGGAGAGAGCCCGATTCGGGGCTTGATTCCAGGACTCTGGGATCATGACCTGAGCCGAAGGCAGAGGCTTAACGACTGAGCCACCCAGGTGCCCCAGTATTTGTGAATTTTTAGCACAAAATAATAATCTGGGATCCTATCAAGTTCATGACTCCCTCTAAATAACATTCTAGTGTATAGCAGTGTATATTAAGGTGACGGTCATTTAAGTTTGAACACCTCCTAAAACAACTTCACTTTTACGTTTTATGTCTATGTTGTTCTATTTTACATCTTTTCATTTTGTGGGTCCCTTTAATCTTTTAGATATAATTGATTTTACTACTTTTGTCTCTTAACCTCCATCCTAGCTTTATAAGTGATTACTACCTTTATGTTAGCTTTTACTCATGAAATTTTTTCCTTCTGTAGCTGTCTTCTTCTTTTTTTTTTTTTTTTTAAAGATTTTATTTATTTATTTGACAGACAGAGATCACAAGTAGGCAGAGAGGCAGGCAGAGAGAGAGGAAGGGAAGCAGGCTCCCTGTTGAGCAGAAAGCCCGATGTGGGACTCGATCCCAGGACCCTGAGATCATGACCTGAGCCGAAGGCAGCGGCTTAACCCACTGAGCCACCCAGGCGCCCTGTAGCTGTCTTCTACTTATTGCCATCCCCCTTTACATAAGTCCTTTTAACATTTCTTATAAGGCCCATTTCAGCACTCCCTGTACAAACGTTTCAGCCACTGCTACAGAACTCCACAGGATGGGACAGAACTCTGCGACTGGGGGAGTGGGCAGAGAATCAGGAACAGATGAATAAACCCTGGGAGTCAGAGGTGTGCTAGCACCTGTATGACATCAGGTGTTTCCTCCTGATCTCCTTGTGGGAAAAACATGGGCTTCCTAATAAGACAGACCTGAGCTGGAACAGGGCTCCACCACTTCCTGGCTATGCAACCTTGGTCCTCAGTTTATTTATTGATAAGAACAAGGTGGTTGTATCGCATTTAAAAAGGATAAAGTGTGTAAAATGCTTATCGAACTGCTAGTAGCAATGGCAGTGCCAGGTGTATGGTTGATTTGTGGCACAGAATTTCTTCAGGCTTTCATTTTTCTTATTCTATATTCTGCCGTTACAGCTTTGTCTCTCTGAAGCAGTTAATTAGCTACAGACTGTCTCTATCCCGTTCCCTAAAAGACAGAGGGCAAGGTGTAGTGGCCTTTCAAGGACCTCCCCTTTCCTCTGCAGCTGTGCTGTTATCTTTAACTGGATAAATACCTCTGCCCACGAGGTCGAGGTGGTTAGCCACTTTCCATTTGTGCTGAAGAGTGGAGGAAGAGAGTGGGAACGAGGGCGGAATGCCCAGAATTACAAATGTGTGGAAGAGATAACTGGTGGTGAAGGTCAAATCTCAGGTCTTATTTCTTCTCTACTTCGGGATTTACCCCAATTGGCCCAATAACACTATAATTTAGTCTTTTCTGCGCATGTCAAGGTCTTTTGTCCCTCGGCGGACACCGTTGCCAGCCAAAGCTATGTCTCCGCGCTCGCCGCTTTCGTAGGGTGCCGAGTTGTACCTCTTCTCCACGCGTGCCATGGCGAGCCGAGGGGCTCGTCAGCGCCTGAAGGGGAGCGGGAGCAGCGGCGGGGACACGGTCTCGGCCGCGGACAAGCTGCGGGAGCTGCTGTGCAGCCGTGAAGCGGGCGGCGCGGAGCCGCGGACAGAGTAGGTGTGCGGGCGCGGCGGGGGCGTGGCGGCCGGGCGGCGCGGGGCTGGCCCCGAGGGTCTCCCGGGGAAGCGCGGGTCCAGCCTGGTTCCCCCGGGTACCTGCGCTCTTCCTGGACGGGTCACGTCCGCTCTTCGCCCCGCCCTGGGTCCCCCATCCTGCGTCCCGTGTTTCTCGGGAAGAAAGCCTGGAGGGAGGCTCCGAGGCTGCTGGCCCAGGCCCAGAGCGGGCTGGTGTCGTGCGGTTTGAGTTGGCTGAGCCTCAGCGGGAGACGCTGGCAAGAGCGAAGAGCAGATCTTTCCCGGCAGTCTGCCTCCGTTTCCTTCATTGCCTGCAAAGTCCTAACCCCTTATTCTTCAGTGGGGGCCCCACAGCCTCCAGCACCTGCAACCGTCTCTCTCCCCGAGCCCAGGCACTGCGGGTTTAGGACCGCATTAAAGGACCCGTCAACATATGGAAATGGAGGGGGTTATGCACTTTGCACAAATTAGGCCTCTGTGCATTTGAACAAGTGGGGGAATGATTAAAGATGTGGAAAGTAATGACCTTGTTAAGAGAAGAAAGAAAAAGGGGAGAGCTCTGTGGCCTTCAAGGAGTGTCATCGCGGCAATGAGTTAAAGTGTATGAATGAGCTTACGCATTAAGAGCAGGAAGTGGAAAGTAAGATTAATTCAGGTCTTCTGAGGTTTATTACCTAAGCGTGCTTTGATGTCCTTGGCTTTCTTGCCGTTTCTGCCCTGAACCGCCTTCTACTTAGTAGGTCTTCCTGACATATCCTCCCTTTGCTTCTGAGCAGGCTATCTGGGAACAAAGCAGGACAAGTTTGGGCACCTGAAGGATCTACTGCTTTCAAGTGTCTGCTCTCAGCAAGGTTATGTGCTGCTCTCCTGAGCAACATCTCTGACTGTGATGAAACCTTCAACTACTGGGAACCAGTAGGTGATTTCTTTAGTTTTCATTCTTTTTTTCCCCCCTTGATTTCACTGCTTGGGACCTTGTTGCCAATCAGGATACAAATAATATACAACTGTGGCTGATAGTAAAACAACTTTTTTTTTTTTTAAGATTTTTATTTATTTATTTGACAGAGATCACAAGTAGGCAGAGAGGAAGGCAGAGAGAGAGAGGAGGAAGCAGGCTCCCTGCTGAGCAGGACACTGGGATCATGACCTGAACTGAAGGCGGAGGCTTCAACCAGTGAGCCACCCAGGCACCCCGTAAAACAACTTTATTTACACTTTTGTATTCTAAGCTTCCCTGCCTTGAAGGCCATGGGAAAATGGGGCTTTTTACAAAAAAGATGTGATCTGTAACTTTTGTAAATTTATTTTAAATCAAAATAATACTTTGAGATAGTTTTTAAAGTTACCAACTACTACAAAACTTAAAGGGAAAACCGTAACTCTCTGTTCTACTTCTCATAGCCAAATCCTAGTCCCTAGAGGTGACCACTTTCTTTTTCTTTTTTTTAAACTTTATTTTTTCAGTGTTCCAAGATCTGTTGTTTATGCATCACACTGAGTGCTCCATGCAATACGTGCCCTCCTTCATACCCACCACCAGGCTCACCCAAACCCCCACCCCCTCCCCTCCAAAACCCTCAGTTTGTTTCTTAGAGTCCACAGTCTCTCATTGTTTGGAGGTGACTACTTTCTTTCAGCTTTCTTGGTTCTTTTTTTCTGATTGCTAAAATAAAATGTTATTAAATGGTACGCTTGTACTGCTATTTTGTGATTTATACATGTATATGTATATATATGTGTATAAATATATGTTTGCTGACTTCCTATTACAGAGAATTCAGAGGGGAAATATTCTGATCCCATTTTGCATTAAAAAATGCTTAACATAGGTAGTTTAAGGAAAATGCTAAGGTTTAGAGTTTCTCTGGGCTAATGAGTATTTTATTTACTTGAGGGGGAGAATGAGTGGTGGGGGAGGAGAGAGGAAAAAAAGAGAGAGAAGCAGACTCCCTGCTAAGCAGGAAGCCTGATTCGGGCTCCTGATCCCAGGACCATGAGGTTTATGATCTGCGCCAAAGGTAGATGTTTAACTGACTGAGCCACCCAGGTACTCCTTGGCTAATGAGTATTTAAGAAAAAAATAAGTAGAGGGTAAAATTCAAATTTTTGACATTGACCAAACAATAATCTTGGAGAAATTATAATGTCCTAATATTAGTCAGTATTGGATCAGTTTGATTCTTATCTATTAATTGCAAATCTTGTTGAGAATTTCAGCATATCTGTGTACCTTTGTCTTAGTAATATTTTTGCTTGGAAACTTCACCTGTATTCGCTTAGCAAGGATTTTTGGCCAATTTAACCCTGAATCTGTTTTTTATTTTCAGACACACTACCTCATCTATGGGAAGGGGTTTCAGACTTGGGAATATTCCCCAGTTTATGCGATTCGCTCCTATGCTTACCTATTGCTTCATGCCTGGCCAGCTGCATTTCATGCAAGAATTCTTCAGACTAATAAGGTAAGGGCAGGCCACCTGGAAGCAATTAGAGGTGATTAAGAGAGAAGTCTCTGGAACAGTTTTCAGAAAAGGACAAAATAGATTTGTAGGTAGGAGAGGACTTTTTGAAGAGTAATCATTTGTTCATTTAACAAACATTAATGGGGCAACTTCGTAAAATTAATTCCAGGATACTTAACACATGGTGTTACGTTAGTTTCTGGTGTACAATATAGGGATTCAACAATGCTATGTATTACTACGTGCTCATCAAGATAAGTGTATTTTTAATTCCCACCATCTATTTCATCCGTTCCTGCATCCCTGTCCCTTTGGTAACCATCAGTTTGTTTTCTGTAGTTGAGTCTGTTTGGTTTGTCTTTTTTTCATCATTTTTTTGTTTCTTAAATTCCATATATTCCAAATATGAGTGAAATCATACGGTATTTGCATGTTTGCAAATGGCAAGATTTCATTCTTTTTTGGCCAAATAATATTCCATTGTATGTATATACAACCTCTGTATTCATCTATCCTGGACCTTGGGCTGCTTCCATAATTGGGCTATTGTAAACAATGCTGCAGTAAACACAGAGGTGCATATATCCTTCTAGTTTAGTGTTCTTGTTTTCTTTGGGTAAATACCCAGTAGTGCAATTATTGGATCCTGTGGTAGTTCTATTTTTAATTTTTTGAGGAAACTTCCAGGTCTTTGAGTGGCTGCACCAGCTTGCACCAAGCAGTGCACATGAGTTCCTTTTACTCCACATCCGGACCAACACTTGTTTCTTGTGATTTTGACCATTCTGACAGAGGTGAGGTGATACCTCATTGTGGTTTTCATTTGTGTTTCCCTGATAAGTGATGTTGAGCATCTTTTCATGTGTGTGTTGGCCCGATGTATGACCTCTTTGGGGAAATGTCTATTCATGTCTTCTGTCCATTTGTTTTTATTTTTTTTATTTTTTAATTTTTTAATTTTTTTAAATTTTTTTTTTTTTAAGATTTTTATTTATTTATTTGACAGAGAAAGATCACAAGTAGACGGAGAGGCAGGCAGAGAGAGAGAGAGAGAGAGAGAGAAGCAGACTCCCTGCAGAGCAGAGAGCCCGATGCGGGACTCGATCCCAGGACCCCGAGATCATGACCTGAGCCGAAGGCAGTGGCTTAACCCACTGAGCCACCCAGGTGCCCTGTCCATTTGTTTTTAAAGATTTATTTTAGAGAGCACACACAGGGGTAGGGGCAGAGGGAGAGGGGGAGAGAATCCTGAAGCAGACTCCCAGCTGAGCTAGGATCCCAATGTAGGGCTTGATCCTAGGACCCTGAGATCATAACCTGAGCTGAAATCAAGAGTTGGCTGCTTGACCAACTGAGCCACCCAGGTGCCCTGACCTTGTCCATTTTTTAAATTGGATTTTTTTTTTTCCTTTGTGTTGAATTGTAGAAGTTTTTTATATACTTGGGATATAAACTAATGGACAAAATTTTGTCTGGTAGGCACTTTGAGTGCTTTGGATGTAACAGTGGCCAAATCCCTGCCCTCATGAATTTATAGGTTAGTGGGGAAGATTGAATATTGAACAAGTAATTATAAATGCAATGGGTCTTATGGACGAAAAGGACAGTGTGCAATAAGACAGCCTATTAGGAGATCCTAGATTTTTTTTTTTTAAGATTTTATTTATTTATTTGACAGAGATCACAAGTAGGCAGAGAGGCAGGCAGAGAGAGAGAGGGGAAGGAAGCAGGCTCCCTGCTGAGCAGAGATCCCGATGTGGGGCTTGATCCCAGGACCCTGGGATCATGACCTGAGCCAAAGGCAGAGGCTTTAACCCACTGAGCCACCCAGGTGCCCCAGGAGATCCTAATTTTAACAGTGCTGAAGGATAATTAGGAGCTAATGGAGACCTAACCTGATTACCTTTTAGAAATTTGACTGTAGTGGGTCTTGGCATGGATATCTATGGGTTTATGCTGTTTGGAATTTACTAACCTTCTTGAATCTTCAGGCTTATGTCTTTTGCCAAATTTGGGAAGATTTTAGCTGTTATTTTTCTGAATACTTTGTCAGCTCTGCCCTGTTTCTTGTCTCTGAGAGTCCAACGATGTCAATGTTAGATGTTTAATTATAGTCCCACAGATCTCTGAGGCCCTATTTTGTAAATATTTTCTATGTTGATTGAGCAATTTCTAATCTTCTAGTTCACTGATTATTTCCTCTCTCCCTTCCAATCTGCTCTTGAGTCTATCTGTTGAGCTTTTATTTTTTTATTTCTTAAAGATTTTATTTATTTATTTGACAGGAACCACAAGTAGGCAGAGAGGCAGGCAGAGAGAAAGGAAGGGAAGCAGGCTCCCCTGATGCGGGGCTCGATCCCAGGACCCTAGGATCATGACCTGATCTGAAGGCAGAGGCTTTAATCCACCGAGCCACCCAGGCGCCCTCTGTTGAGCTTTTATCTTGATTGTTGTATTTTTTCAGTTTTAAAATTTGCATTTGGTTTTTCTTTTATATATTCTGTTGCTTTACTGGAACTTTGTATTTCGTGTTTCCGGTCTGTTCTTAATTGCTCATTGAAGCATTTTTACAACAGCTCCTTTAAAAATTCGTCAGATAATTCTAACTTTTGTCTCATCTTGTTAGTATCTGCAGATTGACTATTTTCAACTATTCAGTTTGAGAGTCTCCAGGTAATTTTCAGTTGAAATGTGGACATTTGTGGGATTATGAGACTCTGGATCTTATTCATGGGCCCAGCATGCTTCCTCTGCATCTTTGGGTCTTTTTGAAGCCTTCTGTTTTGTCTGGCTGCTCTTGATCCTACTCTAGCAGGAGAAAGGAGGGTGTTCTCCACCTTTGTTACTGCCAGGTGGGGGTACAAGTTGAGGTTCCTCACTTGGCCTTCACTCCTATGGGCAGGGAAGGGTACTTCATTACTGTTAGGGTGGGGTGAGGAGGTGAAGTCAAGAATTATCCAAGTGGTCTCCACTGACAGTCCTGGCTTCCTACTGGACCTTTGATGGCATGGGTGGGAGTTAAGCTCTTTTTTTTTTTTTTTTTTTTTTTTTCCCCCTTCTTTCAGGAGTGCTTTGCTGGAATAGAGTGATTATTGTCTGAAGGTTTTCTGTCTTGTTAGGCTACCTCTTTCTCGGCCTTTTGGCAAGATTGACCAGGCTTTGGTTGGTGTTTGTGCTCATTTGCATTTCTAGCTGCCAACTTCTTTAGTTCTAATTCTGGAATACAGAAGGTGAAAGAAAACCCAGGGAACTTAACATTGTTTTCCCTCTAGTCTCAAAATCCCTAGGCAGTCTGCTGCTTTCTCTCTACCTTGAATTGTCACAGGTTTACCTCACCTATAATGTCCAGAGTTGTTGGTTTTATAGAGCAGGAGGAAAAGGGAAAAGTATGGCTAATCCATCTTCCATGAAGCAGAAATCTCTGAGAGAACTAGAGGGTGAGTAGGAGTCTTCTAGGTAAAGGAAGGATGGGGATGAGGGAAGAAAGCCATGAGGCTGGGAAGAGGGCCAGTATGGCCTTGTTGTATAAATAGGCTTGATGCTTGGAAGAGACAGTGAGTGGTGGAGTGGGTTTTGTGATACTGAAAGGTAGGAGGAGGCCAGATTTATACAACACCTGGTAGGTTCTAGTAAGCAGTTAGACTTTTATACCCCCAAGGACTTTCTGAAGCCATCCAGAGGTTTTAGAGGAGAGACACAATTGCGTATGCATTTTAGACTGGTAAGAAAGATAGCACCTTAGAAAGTGATAGAACTGTCTTTCCCTTCCCTACCTAATAGTTAATTTCTGGTTTTTAGAACTTAGCAGAGGAGAGGTGTAGGGGAGAGGTCTTAGTAGAGAAATGACCATATGCAATGCTTAAGCCTTTTATGTCCTCTTGGGTATCCACTGTCACTTCCAGTTTGACATGTTCAGCAGAATCCTTCATCTCCTATCACTCTTCTCTTACATCAACTACATGAACAGGAAGCAGAACAGGAATGAAGATTTCCCTTGTTCTTCTGTACAGTCTCTTTCCTGGTAAGTTCTACCAATGGAATCCAGTAGGAAGCCACTTGACAAGGAAGAATTAAGAGTTACCGAGTCCCAGTCCCAGCATCATCATGCCCAGTAGAGAGGGTGGATTGTTGCTAAAAGAGTGTCTGGTAATAATTGGCACCCCTAGTGATGGTTTCCAACTTTTTGCCACCCTAAATAGGAATACCTTGGTTTTATCTCCCTATGGATCTGGTTTTCAGTTTCTCTGAATATTCAGTGAGATCTGTGTTTGTGGTTTCTCTGGAGGATATATTCAGTGGGATCCGTGTATGTGTGTGTAGAGAGGGTACTTAATTTCTATTGCCAGGTTCCTCCCAGAGTGGCTATCGAACTTCACACTTCTGCAGCAATGTTCTATATTTCAGCCACTGCACATCTCCTGAGCACTTGATGTTCTGACTTGCTAATTTTTGCGGTTCTCATGTATGTGAAATGTTTCTCATTTTAATTGCCCTTCCTTGGTTACTTGTGAGGTGCAGCATTTTTGTCATTCATTCGTTCTTTTCTATGATTGACCTGTTCACATTGTTTGGCTGTTTTTCAACTGGTTTTTCTGGGTTTCTCCTCTGATTTGTAGAAGTTCTCAGTAGTAACCCCTTGTAGGTTTTAGATACTAGAAATCTTTTGTTGAACAGAAACCTTTAATTTTGTTAAAGTCAAGTCAATTAGTTTTTCACTTAATGGTTGGTGGGTTTTGGGTCTCCCTAAAAGAAATCCTTCTTTACCACAGTTCACAAAGATGTTTTTAAGTATTTTCTTAGCTTTCTGGGTACATTGGTGGCTCAGTCAGTTGGGTGTCTGCCTTTGGCTCAGGTCATGATCCTGGAGTTCTGGAATCAAGTCCTGCATTGAGCTCCCTGCTTGGCTGGAAGGCTGCTTCTCCCTCTACCCTTTACCCTGCTTGTGCTCTCTTGCTCTTTCTCTCTCTCAAATTATAAAAAAGAAATATTTTTTTAAGATTTTATTCATTTATTTGACATATCACAAGTAAGCAGAGAGGCAGGCAGAAAGAGGAGAAAGTAGGCTTCCTGCTGAGCAGAGAGCACAATGTGGGGCTCTATCCCAGGACCCTGGGATCATGACCTGAGCCGAAGGCAGAGGCTTTAACCCACTGAGACCCAGGCGCACCCCCCCGCAAAAAAGAAATATTTTTAAAAAGTATTTTCTTAGCTTAATAATTTTACCTGTCATATATAAGGCTTTAATACCTTCGAATATTTTTAAAAAGAATTTTATTGTTAAGTAATCTCTATTTTTAAGATTTTATTTATTTATGACAGATAGGGAACATAAGCACAGGGGGCTGGAGAGGGAGAAGCAGGCTTCCCGCTGATTAGGGAGCCCGATATGGGGCTCTATCCCAGGACACTGGGATCATGACCTGAGCTGAAGACCAGTGCTCAATGACTGAGCCACCCAGGTACCCCTTGAATATTATTTTTTATAAATTGTAGAAAGATGCAGCTTTATTTTTTGTGATATAGTGAACTGGATTTTTCAGTACCATCTGCTAAATAATCCATCCTTTCTCTTCTGATTTGTAATACCTTATCTATCATACACCTTATTCCCACGTGTATGGGCCTGTTTATGTCCTCCTTATTCTAGGTCATTGGTCAAATTATTAGTACCGTATTTTTATTATTATGGCTTTGTAGTGTGTGTTAATCTGGTTGATAAATTTTCTACTTTGTCTATTTTAAAAGTTGTATTTTAAAAATCATTTCACATTTGCCCCTCCCCCAATTCTATTTTTTTTTCTTTATTGGAATCCCATTGAATTATATATTAATATGAAAATCAGTATTTTTATAGGTTTGTCATTCCATCCTTAAGATGATGTATTTATCTAATTAGTCAGGTTTTCTGTATCCTTTAATAAAATTTGTAAATGTACCCATTTCAGTCTTACCAAGTTTTGGGAAGCTTAATGCCTACATTCTTCATACTTTTTTGTTGCTGTTATGAAAGGAATCTTGTTTTGCTGGTTTTTTTGGTGGTCATTGCTGATAGGAATACAACTGATTTTTGTATTTTAATCTTAATCTAAATCTTGCTAAATTTCCTTATTAGTGTCACTGGTGTATCAGGTGTATATCTTGGATTCTCTTCCATCTGTGTAGATAGTTTAGTTTCTTCCATTCCTTATCCCTCCTTTTTTCTTGTGTCCTTTTGCATTGACCAACATTTTTAGTTATGTGTTGCATGTTAATTGTTGTTGGGGCATTGCTGTCTGGTCCAAATACAATTCTTACATTAATTAAGGTTAATTTTTAGCTGTTTTTTAAAAGATTTTATTTTCAATGGGGTGCCTAGGTGGCTCAGTCATTAAGGTCTGCCTTCGGCTTGGGTCATGATCCTGGGGTCCTGGGATCAAGCCTAGCGTCAGGCTTCCTGCTCAGCAGGAGGCCTGCTTCTCCCTCTCCCACTCCCACTCCCCCTCCCCCTGCTTGTGTTCCCTCTCTCGCTGTGTCTCTGTCAAATAAAATCTTTTTTTTTTTTTTTTTTTTTTTTTTTAAGATTTTATTTATTTGACAGAGAGAACACAAGTAGGCAGAGAGGCAGGCAGAGAGAGAGGGGAAGCAGGCTCCCTGCTGAGCAGAGAGCCCGATGCGGGGCTCGATCCCAGAACCCTGAGACTATGACCTGAGCTGAAGGTAGAAGCTTAACCCACTGAGCCACCCAGGCGCCCCCAAATAAATAAAATCTTAAAGTTAAAGATTTTATTTTTAAGTAATCTCTACATCCTATGTGGGGCTCGAACTTAAAACCCCAAGACCAAGAGACACATGCTCTTCTGACTGAACCAGCCAGGTGTGCCTAATTTTTAACTTTCCAAATGTTTTATACTTAATTAGATGAGGGGTCCTTAATGTGTAGATACTTTGTACTAAAATTATCTGAATTTCCAGCAGCATCTAGAATAGTGCTCAGTGTATATTAGGCTTTCAGTATGTTTCTATTGAAGTAATGAATGAATATGGCATTTAATGGATTGGTTTATTGAACTCTCTTTGGAATATTTTGTTTATGGTGTTGAAAATGTGAAGTATTCCTAAGTTACATGCAGTAATCTTAATCATGATATATATTTAAGTAGTGCTTACATTCTGAAGTACTCAATGGTCTTAAATATACCAGTGCACTATAGTATGAAAACTATTAAATATAACCCCTGTTACTGTTTTTTAAGTTGATGTTCTTAATTATGAAATTAATCACATTACATGTGTTTGGAAGACAGGAGGGAAGGTATACACCTAAGTCCCGGCAGCCTGATACAGCCACCTTAACCATTTCACTACATTTCTTTTCAGTCATCTCCTATGCTTCTGATTTCCAAAGCTATAATTCTGATGTATAAAATAATATATTGTGTATTTTTACCTAGTATTGAGTAACTATCTGTCATTATCAATATATTATGGTTGTTTAGGTAATGTTTGTTGAATGTATGATTTTTATATGAATTATTCCACTGTTGCTGTAATTGTGAATTTTAAGATCTGTGTAATAGTCCATGAAATACATATACATAATGGATCGGACCATTTCCCCATCATTGGACGTTGTGTAGTTTTTTTAAGCGGTTTTTTCCTAATGTAATACTGCCGCACTTACCATTTTCATGAGTAGAACTAACCTTCCTACTTAGTCCGAGTTACTTCTGAGAGCTGGTCTTATAGAAATGGGTGTACTTGGTCGAGGGGTAGGAATACATGTATGGTCCTTGATACATGCTGCTTTTCAAAAGGATTATGCCAGTTCAGTGTTACGAATGACAAATGGAAGTGGTTTCCTCCTTAAGAGTTTTGTTTCTGTGACTTCTGTTTTCTTGTCCTGGGTTTCTTTCAGATTCTTGTCTTCTACTTTTTACGATGTCTCCTGGCTTTTGTGAGCTGTATCTGTGAACTTTACTTTTACAAGTGAGTATAAAACTTTGCTTCTAAAAGTGCTATGAAGGAAGCCCAATATAGCATAAGATTTTTTTTTTCTGATCATAAGCAGTGTTTGTAATAGAAAACACTTCCTCCTAGCTCCTAATACTGTATTTGAGGTAGGACTTAAGGGGTTCCTAGGTGGCTCAATTTTTAAGTGTCTGCCTTTGGCTCGGGCCCTGGTCCCAGGGTCCTGGGATCTAGCCCCGTATTGGGCTCCCTGCTCAGCAGGAAGCCTGCTTCTCCTTCTCCGACTCCCCCTGCTTGTGTTCCCTATCTGGCTGTGTCTCTCTGTCAGATAAATAAAAAAAATCTTTAAAAATCTTAAATTTTTTTTCTTGCTTTATTGACATGTAATTGAAATAATACTGTGTGAATTTAAGATGTACAGCATGATTATTTGATAAACGCATATGTCATGAAGTACCACAGTAAGGTTAGTTAACACATCCATCACTTCCCAGTTTGTGTGTGGTGAGAACATTTTAAGATTTACTCTGTTAGCAACTTTCAAGTACATTAATATTGTATTGTTAACTGTAGTCACCATGCTGTATACCGGATCCCCCAGAACTTACTCATCTTCTAACTGGAAGTTTGTATGCTTTGGCCACCATCTCCTAATCTTCTGTCTCCTCCCTACCCTCTGCTTCCCCAGCCCCTGGCAACCACCATTCTATTCTGTTTCTGCAAGGTTGGCTTTTTTTAGATTCCACATGTGAGATGATACAGGATTTGTCTTTCACTGTCTGACATTTCACTTAGCATAATACCCTCAAGGTCCATCCACGTGTTGCAAGTGGTAGGATTTCCTTTTTAAATTTATGACTGAATAATATTCTGCTGTACATGTATACCACATTTTCTTTATCCGCTCATTCATAGGTGGACATTTAGGTTGTTTCTGTGTCTTGGCTATTACAAATAGTACTGCAGTAAGCATGGGCCTACAGCTATCCCTTTGAGATAGTGATTTCATGTCCTTAGGATGTGTACCCTGAAGTAGGATTGCTGGATTATATGGTAATTATATTTTTAATTTGTTGAGGAAAGAAATGGGACTTGGTGTTTTGAAACACTGTTGGAGGGGAAAACTTTTAATTATCACTTTCCTTCCTGAGGTGCGTTAAGTTTCATTATCTTCATGTAAAGTTAATATATGGGTAACTGGTGTTTCATGTGGTAGGATTTAGTAGAGCCTTAATTTTGGTTGCAAGATACAGAATCATGATTTACCTCTTCCCCTTGAGCTTAGGTGATAGGAAATTATTCCCATGTGGGACTGACTGCTCTTACTTGCACCCAGTACGTTGTCTTTCACCAAGTACCTATCAGTTGATTGAATATTAGTGGAAGTATTAAGCATTTAAGTGTTGCAGTAATAAAAGCCACTTTTTTTTACATGCAACCTAACATGTTAATAATGCTTTAAAAGGTATTTAGACATAATGATTATTATTAAAAGTATCCCCACTAGAAAACAATTAAAAATGTCAGACACAAATTCTTTGGCCTTGACTCTGGGTGGCACAGAGAAGGAAGCAAGCTAGTGCTGTCTTTAAGGATTGTAACCGTATATTGGTCTTCACATTGGTTAAGGACTGAGTGAACATCACCTTACATCATCCCCCGAAATCCCAAGTTGAGAATTTATTTAAATTGTTCTGGGTTGGCAGTGCCCGTAGGTATCTTGCAAAAGCAAAAGGGGAAGCTTCTCCAGAGAAATGGATCTTTAACCCAGGTGTCAAAGAATTACTACAAATAAAGTTCTAGTGAACAAGAAATTATAATAAAAATCTCAAAATAATCACCAAGTACAGAAGCGAACAAGTTGTACATGAGAACCAACAGCAATAATAACAGAAAGCTGACCTGGAAGACTTTGTTGATTAGGAATTACTAAAATAAGAACATAAATATATTTCATATTTCTAAATAAAAAAGAAGGAATTTGAAAACATGAATAAGAAACAAGAACCTAAATAATCCGTAGAGTGAAAAGGAAGTTAGAGAATGGAAGGGAATATTTAAAACCATAATCTGAAAAGCGGTTCAATTCCAAAATATATAAGGAACTCCTACAACTCAATACCAAAAAACCCCATTAATCGGATTAAAAATGGACTAAGAACTTCAATAGACACTTCTTTAAAGATGCTATACACTTAGCCAGCGGGTATTTGAAAAGATACGCAGTGTCACTGTATTTCAGAGAAATGCAAATCAAAACCACAGTGAGCTATAACTTTATGCTGGTTAAAATGGCTATTGTGAAGCCCCCCGCCCAAACCACAAATCGGTGTTGGCAAGGATATAGGATTGGAACCTTTGCGCCCTGTTGGTGGGAATGCCAAATGGTATAGCCACTGTACAAAATTGTATGGAGGTTCCTCAAAAAACTAAGAATAGAACTACCATATGATCCAGCAATCAACTTCTAGGTATTTATCTAAAAGAATTAAAACAGGATCTTGAAGAGGTATCTGCACTTCCATGTTCTTTGTAACATTTTTCACAATAACCAAGATTATTGTGACCAATGCCAACAACTTTAGTGTCCATTGACCAATAAATGGGGGAAAATGGGGTATATGCCTAGAAGGGAATATTCAGTCTTGAAAAAGAAGGAAATCCTGCAGTGTGTGACAACATGCACGAACCTTGAGGATGTTGTGTTAAGTGAGCTACCCAGTTACAGATGGACAACCACCACTGATTCCACCTATGGGACTCTAAAATAGACTCGTGGAAGCAAAGCACTGGTTGGTGATTGTCAGGCTGGGTAGAGGGGGAAATGGGAAGTTGCTAATCAGTGGGTATAAAATTTCAGTTGTGTTGGATGAATAAGTCTAGAGAGCTATTGTACAACATTGTACAGATAACCGTACTGTATCGTATGCTTAAAAATCTGTTAAGGTAGGGGCGCCTGGGTGGCTCAGTGGGTTAAAGCCTCTGCCTTCGGCTCAGGTCATGATCCCAGGGTCCTGGGATCGAGCCCCGCATCGGGCTCCCTGCTCGGCGGGGAGCCTGCTTCCTCCTCTCTCTCTGCCTGCCTCTTTGCCTACTTGTGATCTCTGTCAAATAAATAAATAAATAAAATCTTTAAAAAAAAATCTGTTAAGGTAGACCCCCTGATTACCTGTTCTTACCACAATACAATAAAGAAGATAAAAGAAAAATAAGGAATGAGACTATGAAGATAAGTGAGCAGATCTGAGAAAGAACCACACAGAACTTCTAGCAATGAAAGCAGAATTGAGGTTTAACACGCAGTGGTTAATTTGAATGGCTAGACACTAACAAACTAGAAGATTGATCTGAAGAGCTCAGTAGGAATGAAGTACAGAGTGACAGAAAGGAAATAGAAGGGAAATGTAAGGGAAATATAAAGATGTTAAACCCGTATTGACAGATTCAGTCAGATTCTAGGAGATGATAGAGTGGAGAGAGACCGTATTTAGGGAAGTAATACCTAAGAATTTCCACAATTGATGGAAAAAAAAGATGCTAATTCATAGATTCAGGGAGCCTAACATATCCTGAGCTGGAAAAATAAGCAAGTAGTGAACCACGTAGAACACCAAGGGCAAAGAAGATCTTAAAAGTTGACAGAACTAATAGAATAGCTACAAAGGGATGTTAGATTGATGGAAGCCTTCTCAAAAGCCAGAAGATAAAACTTCACAGTACTCAGAGAAAATGATTGTCCTCCTAAAATTGTGTACTCAGCTACGCCATCTTTTAAGACCAGGAGCTTAGTAAGGCTTTTCAGACAAAAAAAAAAAAAAAAAAGAAAAGAAATGAAAAGAAAAAAGAAACCAAACAAAAAGGGAATTTGCCATTAACAGATCCTCCCTAAACGAACTACAAAGGATATACTTAGGAAGAAGCAAAATTCAGGAAGCAGCTCTGAGATGCACTGAGGAACCTGAACTAGCTGACCGTTAACCCAGGGGTATGTCTGCACAAATGTGGACTAAATGAAGCGGTAATCATTCCTAAGAATGTTAACGGGGTTAAAAACCTCCAAGAATGAAGTAGAGAAGACTGTCATTCCTTGGGTTTGAGAAATGTGGACTTAGACAACTTCTTATTAACCCTTCGTGTATCTCCTCACCTTTTTGTCTTGTGACTACTATTTACTGAGCGATTCTGTTCCAGACAGTTCTGAGCACTTTGCCATGCATTGTCCTCACAGAAGTGTGACCAAGTAGGCATTCTTATTATCCTCACTTGGCGGGTGAGGATTCCGACACAGGGATTTTGTCACCAGACCAGGGTACTGCTGCTAGTAAGTGGCGGAGCCCAAATTTGAGCCTGTGCCCATCTGAATCTGAGGCCTGTTACTTTCCCACTACATCGTGCTGTTTTCCTGTTGATAATGTACGTGATTTTAGCATGGAAAAGATATCATATCCTCTTAGAGTTTTTCTTCTGCTTGAAGAGTAAGCATGTTTGGGTTTGTTTTGCACACAGAATTGCTAACAAACCTGTCCAGGCAGTTTTGTGTTTGACTTTAGATCCTGAGTGTTCTCTGCGATGGGGGCATGTTTTTTCCTTTGATTTGAAATGTCTGTCCTTAAGATTGACTATGCTGATGGTCTTTGCCTTTCTTCTAGGGCTGTGTGCAAGAAGTTTGGGCTGCATGTAAGTCGAATGATGCTGGCCTTCTTGGTTCTTAGCACTGGCATGTTTTGCTCCTCATCAGGTAAGTAAAAGGGCAGGTGAGGGCATAACAGGTACACTGAACTTTCACAGTTACATTGAAAGGAAGAACTTGTGTCGGCATAGATTATGTTTAGATAGAATATCGGTAATCTGCAGAGCACTGTTTCCTGCATGATCTCTGTCAGTCCTTACAGCAGTTTTGTGTTAGGGGTAAGACCAATACTTTCTCATTTTTGCAGATGAGGACATGGAAATTGAGAAAGGTGAAATGACTTATTGGGAGTCAAAGAACTCCTAAGTAGTAGAGCTTTCTATTATATTATCGTATTAAAAATTTTTAAAAAAGATTTTATTTATTTATTTGACAGAGATCACAAGTAGGCAGAGAGGCAGGCAGAGAGAGAGGGAGAAGCAGGCTCCTGACAGCGGAGAGCCCGATGCGGGGCTCGATCCCAGGACCCTGAGATCATGACCTGAGCTGAAGGCAGAAGCTTAACCCACTGAGCCACCCAGGCACCTCTGTATTTTTTTTTTTTTTTAAACCAGACTAAAAGACTTTAGCACCTTCTGCCTTTTCTTGCTGTTAGAGGAAGAAAAAACAATTTTGTTATTTTGCTCTTTTTTATGTCTAAAACACCTGTTCTTTGTGGTTCTACTTTCTGCCCATTATTTGCAATGTGTTCTATAAAGGTATGCATCCTCTGGGCCTTTTTTTCTTTTTTTAAATAGTATCCTTAAAGAAAATGAGGATACAACCTTAGAGTGGTGGCTTGCGAGCCGTGCTGCTGTTGCACATTTCTGTTCTCTGAGCCATGGTGGCCTACTGCCAAAAGGTAGCCTGTTTCCACTTCTCCAGAAAAATTAAGCTACTAGGTATAATTATCTCAGTTTTAATTTCTGTTTGTGTGTACCAGAATCCAGTATACACACAAAATATACACAAGAATCGTATCCAGCACAAAAGTGTACATTTAACTTCATTGACAGTATCAAAATCTATGTGGTTGTGCAGAGACCTTATGAGAGTCATAGTCCTCAGGGAGACCGTGCTGTCCCTTCCAGGCCAGCAGAGACCTCCAATTCCTCCGCTCCCTTGTCCACTGCATTGGTGGCTGTAACTGACAACTTTGCAGAGAGCATCAGTATTATATTTATCTGTGAAGCTTTTACCTTCTGTTTTTTGGTTACTTTGCTACTCCTGAAGTGGATTCTTATAAGAGGGAGATATTCAGGAGTACCTTTAGCTTTGCCATCCCAGCTGAGAACGAGAAGGCCCAGAGAAGTTCAAGGTACCCTTTGATACACAGCCTCTAAAGCCTTTCCTGAGTTTGGGAGATCACATGGCCTGATCGTGGTGCTGGCCTTGTGGCCTTGTGCCGCTGTTTCTTCCCTAGTGCTCTAGGCGAGGTCAGCTTCTGCAGCCTGGAGAGGCAGATCTGCATTTTTGTATAGAGTTGTTAGAAACACGGATCGCATGTTACTGTCACAGAGACCCTGAAAGCACTCAGCCTCTGCTGTTTACTACAACAGAGTGATGCTAGATGGAAGTAACTAAGGGACTTCCACAGCCCGAACTATCTATGCCCGTCGATGCAGGATGCAAAGCAGCGTTGCTATCCAATATTTGGCCCTTGAGACGGCCTCCCAGAATTCCTAGGGGGTAAAGGTTAGTGCCAGGACAGTCTCAGAAAACTATCAGAAGATAAACTGCTTCAGAAATAGTCCGCAATGGCTCCAAGTTTCTTGCAGCATACTCCCTGTCTGGAAATATAACCTGGAATTCTCTAAGTTTTGGACTTAGGGTACAGGCCAGGAGAGGAATGGTGTGCTTGGCATTTAACTAGGGGTGTATTGGTACCATAAAAAAACAAGAGTGAGAAAATAAAAATCATTGAACTTCATTTTTTTTTTTTTTTAAGGAGTATGACTTCACTCACAATTCTAATATATTGTTTCTCAAAATATGTTCCTGGTTATTGGTATCACGTAATGTGGGTAAATTTTTAGTAACACCTAATAAACCTCAAACTCTTATCCCCCTCCTCCCTCTTTGTGTTCCCCGTTTCTTTCCTTTTGCAGCATTCCTTCCTAGCAGCTTCTGTATGTACACCACGTTGGTAGCCGTGACTGGCTGGTATATGGACAAGACTTCAGTTGCTGTGCTTGGAGTAGCCGCTGGGGCTATCTTGGGTTGGCCATTCAGTGCTGCTCTTGGGTAAGGGACCAACACAGTTCATCTTCCTTGTGTCCCTGGGCACATAGTAAATCTCTGTGTTAGCTTATCTCTGTGTTCTCTGCTTATGACCTAAAGTTACAGGAAAGAGTTGTGCTTACAGAGCTTATGGGAAATGGAAGAATATTTCTCTCGGTGATTCATTCTAATAAGAATAGTGATTATTAAGCTGTATGTTAGTCTGCTGTATGTTAGCTGCTGCTAAACCCCTTATGAACTTTATCCCTAGGCCTTACAGCAGCTTTGCGGCAAAAATACAATCATGGAAGCTTTATTTTTTATTTTTATTTTTTTAAAGATTTTATTTATTTATTTGACAGACAGAGATCACAAGTAGGCAGAGAGGCAGGCAGAGAGAGAGGAGGAAGCAGGCTCCCCGCTGAGCAAAGAGCCCAATTCGGGGCTTGATCCCAGGACCCTGGGATCACCACCTGCGCTGAAGGCAGAGGCTTTAACCCACTGAGCCACCCAGGCGCCCCGGGAGCTTTATTTTTTTATTATTTTTAAAATATTTAATTTATGTATTAGCGAGTATGCACGAGTCAGGGGAGGAGCAGAGGGAGAGGGCCAAGCTGACTCCCCACTGGGCTTGATCCCTGGACCTTGAGATCAGGACCTGAGCCGAAATCAAGAGTCAGTCGCCTAATCAGCTGAGCCACCCAGGCTTCCCAGTCATTAGTGCTTTATAAATGAGAAAAGAGAGTCTAAGAGGGTGATTTTCCTTGAAGATTCTGTTTGCTGGGGCACCTGGGTAACTCAGTCGGTTAAGCGACTGACTCCTGATTTTGGCTCCGATTGTGATCTCACAGTGGTGAGACTGAGTCCCGCGTTGGGCTCTGTGTTCAGCGTGGAGTTGGCTTGAGATACTCTCTTTCCCTCTGGACCCAGGCCTCCCGGACCCTGCCGCTGGTGTGTTGTGCACGCTGCACCACTCTGTGCTGTGCGTTTCCCACTCACCAGGCCTAAAACCAGACTTCCCTGCGATCTCCAGTTCTTGCCTCAGCAGCTCTTTTCTCAAGGGCTGTAGTATTTCTCTTCCTGTATTCCTTGTTCCCCCAACTTCTGCTCTAGTCTGCACTGTCTTCACTTCTGTGTTACATATTCTTAAAATAAAGTAAGCTAGAGAGAAGAAAATGTTCTGTGAAAATAAAGAAGAGAAGATACTTTTACAGTACTGTACTGTATTTATTAAAAACCCCCATATGTATGTTAACCCACACAGTTTAAACCTGTGTTGTTCAAAAGTCAACTGTAGTAGTCTATTTTTATTATAAAAAAAGTTCCAGGGACGCCTGGGTGGCTCAGTTGGTTAAACGGCTGCCATCGGCTCAGGTCATTGTCCCGGTGTCCTGGGATCGAGTCCCGCATTGGGCTCCTTGCTCAGGGGGGAGACTGCTTCTCCCTCTGCCTCTGCCTGTCACTCTGTCTGCCTGTGCTCACTCTGAGAAATAAATAAAATCTTAAAAAAAAAAAAAAAGTTCCAGTTTGTATGCGGTGAAAAGAATTCTTAATTCTCTTTTCCCCTAACCTAATCTTCAAAGATAGTCACTAATACTTTTGTATATATCTTTCCAGAAATTGTCCTTCTGTGTGTAAATGCACACACATGTATATGTGCATACATATCATAAATTCTTAAATAGAATCATCCTGTAACTGTATATATCTACTTTTTTAAAAAAGATTTTATTTATTTATTGGACAGAGAGACACACAGCGAGAGAGGGACACAAGCAGGGGGAGTGGGAGAGGGAGAAGCAGGCTCCCTGTTGAGCAGGAAGCCGGGGCTCCATCCCAGGACCCTGGGATCATGACCCGAGCCGAAGGCAGATGCTTAACAACTGAGCCACCCATGCGCCCCTCTTTTCTCTTTTTTTAATAGGATCATTTCTAGGGTTTCCTTATTAAGCATCACACAGCCTTTTGGAGTTAGATACTTTTAACAGGTTAGGAATGTTGACCCTCAGCAATGTTAGCAAATGCTATTTTAGCATGTAGGGAGATTATTCTCGATATATTGTTGAAATAATCTCAGAATGACTTTTTTGTGTTGTATTATTATGTAACAGTTTGTTTATAATATGTATCTATAAAGTCTTTATGCCCTTAACTTAGCAGTTGTACTACTGTGTATATAAAACTAAAATGGGAACCCTACTCTACCCCAACCTTTATTTTTTTTTTTTTTTTTTTTTTTTTTTAAGATTTTATTTATTTATTTGCCAGAGAGAGAGAGAGAGAGAGCACAGGCAGACAGAATGGCAGGCAGAGGCAGAGGGAGAAGCAGGCTCCCTGATGAGCAAGGAGCCTGATGTGGGACTCGATCCCAGGACTCTGGGATCATGACCTGAGCCGAAGGCAGCTGCTTAACCAACTGAGCCACCCAGGCGTCCCATCTACCCCAACCTTTAAAAAAATAAATCTTTGGAGCATCTGGTTGGATCAGTCGGTTGAGCGTCTGACTTCACTCAGGTCGTGATCCCAGGGTGCTGAGATGGAGCCCAGCATCGGGATCTGCAGGGGCCTGGGTCCTGCTTAAGATTGTCTCTCTCCCCCTTCTCTGTGGCATTCTTTCTCTTGTAGGCCTGTTGAGAGGATTAAGATATGTAGAATGAGTTTACAATTCTGGTACATCATCAACACGCAGTAAATGTCAGTGTTGCAAAGCTCCACATATCCTGCAGTTTATTTACAGGAATGTCCTATCTTAGTATCACATAGGGCTGTCAGACACTTGAGGTCCTGATGGAGGCAGATTTTTCACTCAGGTAAAGGCATCTGAGAATGCCATACTGACCGATCACCAGCCACTAATTTTCTCTCTTTAGGAGGGCCAAGGATGTCCTACTTTCAAGTCATCCTGGGGTTGCCCGTGTCCAAAGCCCACAGCTGTCCCCTCTGCATGTGTCTGGGAGCTCAGCCAGGGTACTCCCACCGGAGCAGAGGCCACGGGGAAAAAACTATGTATCTTCTGTATATGTAGACTTAGATTGTTCTTTGGGTTGCATAGCATTCCATTATCTGACCATAATTTAGCCATTGCCTTGTTGGTAGATATGTAGTTTTTCTGTTTTTTGCTATGATGTACAATGCTTCAGTGAACATTTTTGTATATATGTCTATACATTTATGGAAATTTATTTATGAGATAAATTTTTAGGAGAGTTGAATGTCTTCTAGGGGGTAAGTATTCTAAATTTTCTTAATTTTGCTTTCAAGGCTGGTTTCCCCACCGTCAGTCTTCTATTTTGCATATCATCAGAATATTAAAGATTTTGTGTGAGGCCCTCTTCTATCTCTTCTGTCTTTCAGTCATCTTGATGATTCCTGTATCTTAAATCTGGTCTAATTATCTCATATATATTAGATATCTCCTTTTCTATAGCTAAACATTTACAAAACTGAGCTCATTATCTTCTGTCCATATCTGTTCTTTTACCTATGTTTCTATCCCAATAAATGGTACCACCATCTACTCAGTGCTGAACCAGGAACCTGAAAAATATCTGTGACTCGTCTCTCTTTCCTATGTCCTATTTATTGTACCTCCTGAATATCTTGACCCTGACTACTCCTCTTCACCTCTGCTCCTGGATTACCATAGAGCCTGCTAAATGACCTTCCCATCCCTAGGCTTGATCTCTGGAAATCTCTCCATAATCAGTCTAGACTTACCGTTCTGAAATGCAAATATGACTATATAGTTCCCTGTTTTGTTTTAAACTCTACAGTAGCTTCCCCATTCCTCTGTGTCACAGAGGCTGGCAGTCTGTCACTGAGGCTGGCAGTCTGTCACCTGTGGGCCCAGTCCAGTTGGTCTTATTTTGTACAGCCCAAGAACTAAGAAGTTGTTGCATTATAAAGGTTTGTTAACAAAACATACACACACACACAGAGCTGACCCACACACACAGAATATGCAGCAGAGACCATATGTGCCCTGTAAAGCCTAAAAGCCTAAAATACATACTGTTAGGTCCCTTATTTAATTGTTCATTTTTAAAGATTTTATTTATTTAACGGAGTGAGAGAGCACAAGCAGGCAGAGCGGCAGAGGGAGAGGGAGAAACAGGCTCCCCACCGAGCAGGGATCCCGATGCGAGGCTCCATTCCAGGACCCTGGGATCATGACCCGTGCCGAAGAAGGCAGTTGCTAAACCAATTGAGCCACCCAGGTGCCCCCTGTTAGGTCCTTTAAGTAAGAAGTTTGAACCCCCTGCCCTGTGGGTCCAGATTCTAACATGACCCACAAAGTCCTGATCTTCCCTCCTTTTTTTTACTTCCCCAACCTTTTTTGTTCCTCCGTTCCTTTTACTCTGTACCATTGGCAATGAACTTTGTGAGTTCTCCCAAATACCTCTGGGTGGCACGTTTTGATGGGTGTACCTTTAGCTGAGATAAGGGATTTCAGGATGGCTATCAGTTGACCGTCATTTATTGAAAACTTAGTGTTAGGCACTGCTGACACCTTGATAAAGAAGACACTTAGGTTCCTGCACTTCCAGAGCTTACGTTTTAGTAGGAAAGACAGACATTGAACAAGTAATTAAAAGTATGATGACTCACCGAAGGAGAAGTAGAGATGCCATGGAAATGTAACTAATTGGGCGGGAAAAAAATGAAAATACAAATGATAATGCAAAATTTTGATAATAGAATGTGAAAGTTCATATCCCAGGAGAAATACCTTGTGATAGCACATGGCATTGCTAAATAAAAGAGAAATGGTAATGCCATGTGAATTCAGAGATGGGAGACATTGGTTCTGCAGAGGGGTCCAGAGCAAAGCCTATCGTTGACATTTGGGTAAGTTCTGTAGTAAGAGGTTGGTGTGGGGAGGGAATTCCTTGTGACTGGAGCGTGGGTAAAGACTCCAACTAGTGTTCTAGATTTGGAGGTCATGGATATGAAGGTGACTATTCATGCAAGAGTGCAAGTACCTACTGAGAAAATGCGTGTAGAAAAAGAAGAGTAGAAATTTGCTTCTGGGACCCAGGACCATGGTAGGGCACAAAAAAGACATCTGGAAAGGAGCCCTTGGGAAGAGGCCAGGAAAGAACAGGAGCCAGGAAACCTAGAGGAAGAAGCAGACGCTTTGTGTCAAGTGCTGCGGAAAGACCAAGGGAGGTGAAGGTTGTGAAGAGTTACTGGGTCTGGCCAAGAGGAGATTCCTGTTGACCTTAAGTCCGTCGCATGAGCTTGAAGCCAGGCGTTCAGGAAGAAATGGTGAAGGCAACATACATACGCCACTTGCTTGAAGAATTAGAGTGAAAGGGATAAGCGCAAATAGTGTTGGAAGGAGACATAGCAGAACTGACAAATCAAAGTGTGTAATATTATTAAAATCTTTATAAATCATGGAAGAGATGAGCATTCATTTGGCCGGGTGGGTATAGGACCACAGGGCACATTCACTTAATGTACTCTGAATGGCCGTTACACTGTATTGTTGAGAAGACGTCCTCTCCTCTATCAGCTTTCTTTCCTCACTGTTAACTGCTAGAGACATGTTTTCCCCCTGTTTAGCATGAGATATGTGTGAATGACTTGTTTGAGTCTACATTCTAAGTGTTTTATTTAATTTCCTATTTCGTTTCTCTGTTAAATAGTTTACCCATTGCCTTTGATTTGCTGGTCATGAAACACAGGTGGAAGAGTTTCTTTCAATGGTCTCTGGTGGCCCTAATACTCTTTCTGGTGAGTTTTATTTTTTGTTTTGTTTTAAACTTGTAATGAAAGCATATTGATAGGAAAGAGAATATGAGAAATTCATTCTCTTTCTCATTTTGAAGTTTATCCTGTTAGCATTGGGAGCATGTTTCCAGAAGAAAACCCTGCAATTGGTATCTATTTTCTGCTCCGTCTTAGGTGCCTGTGGTGGTCATTGATAGCTACTACTATGGGAAGCTGGTAGTTGCACCAGTGAACATCGTCTTGTATAATGTCTTTACTCCTCATGGACCTGATCTTTATGGTAAGGCCTTAGGGAATCTGGGGAAGAGGAAGAGAGAGCTTCCTTTGCCTGAACTTTGAAATTTCAGCTCAGTTGCTTTATTTCCTCAAATACAGCATTTCTTTGCTGCTAATCTTAAAAGTAAATGACGTTCTGATATAGCACAGTGATGATAAGTAGCCACTAAATATTTCTTCTTGATTAATGTGATTTCTTTCAAGATTTGAGAGAGAGAGAGAGAGCGTGTGCATGCGTACAAGTGAGTGTGGGGAGGGGCAGTAGGAGAGGGAGAGAAAAATCTTAGACTCCTTCCTGAGTGCAGAGCCTGATGCTGGACTTGATTTCAGGATCCTGAGATCATGACCTGAGCTGAAACTGAGAGTTGGACACTTAACCGACTGAGCCCCTTGATTAATGTGATTTCTGTTAGTCCTGCTGTCATTCTCAGTATGCCATGGCATTTGATGCTACTTTTTTGAATGAAAAGTTACTTTTTTTCTGTTCTCATTAGAAAACCAGTATGGTAGCTAAAATAGGAAAATAAAAACATTTATAATCCCATTATCTCCACATAAACAAGCTGTTGTTAACACCTTGGAGTATATTCTTGCAGAGGTTTTGTGGACATGGACACATTTGGTATTACTTGTTCTTTTTAAAATTTGCATTCAGTGTCAGGCATTAGGGGAGAAAGTTTGGGAAATGTGTAGACAAAGCAGAGCAAGTGGTAGAGTCAGCATGAGAGGGTGGGTAGTTTGGCCAGTTTAGGGTTGAGAGGAAAAAAGTGGGATGCCTTTAGTTTGGGGAAGGCAGACTCCATTTTACCTCCACCCCCCCCCCCCCCCAGCCCTGAGCCTGTGTTATTTGGCCCCCTAGGGCATTTGAGTTAGTGACGGTTACAGAGGGATGACCTAGAGATCTTCCTGGTCAGATCTGCCATTTTATGAGACTGTTTTCTCATTAAACATTCTATTGCATTAATTTTCAGAAGGTCTTGAAGCATTTTGTGTATGTGATCATCTTGGGGCTCTGCTGTGAATCGGGTTAATATTACCTCTGTGTTCTTACCCGTTTGAGCCATGCCCATCACTTTTCTGTGCCACTTTGCCAACAGAACCAAGAGATTGGATGAGGAGATTTAAAGTAAGCGTATGAGTGAGATTTAACTGGGCCTGTTGGGATTTGTGGAGTATTGTCATTGTAGAGGGCACTAGGTAATAGGTCGAAATTGTGTTTTGTTCCATGACTTGAATTCACAAACCTCCTCGTTTAGAGAATAATTGCTAGGTAAATGAATTTTAATTTTTTAAAAAAGTTTAAGAAATCTCTACACTCCACATGGGGGTCCAGCTCACAACCCCGACATCAGGAGTCACACACTTCTCTGAGACAGCCAGGAGCTTCCTAAGTGAAGGAATTTTAAAAGGTATTACATAAAACTGATGAATTGTTGAACATTATATCAAAAACTAATGATGAACTATATGTTGGCTAACTGAACATAATAAAAAATAATAATAATAAAAATAAGAAAAAAATAATAAAAATGCTCCTTTAGGGCTGACTCAAGATCCCCAAGGTGTGAGGAGGAGCTGCAATTTTAAGCTTTTGCCTCTAGATGTCTCCCTTTAGCTACAGAGAGTTTGTATGTTTTTAATTGCCCCTTGTTTTAGTTGCCTTGTAAAATTTTATTTGGTTCTACAAGTCAATAGAAGGAAGACTCCCCTCTTAGACCCAGATTACACATTATAAATTGATTTACTGGAATCTCTTGGACGCATAATATCCATTATAAATGGGTGAATAAATGATGTTAATTTCAGCTTAATTTTGGGAAACTGACTTTACCTTTAAACATTACCTTTTAAACATATTGCTATTTTGATTGATCATTTATAAAACTTTGAGACTATATAAAAGCAGTTGCCGAGATAGATGAGGTTTATAAATCTAGTAATCTGCAGGTTGTCTGGGAGAGCAGAAATGACAGAATTCCGATTTATGTTTCTGGCTTAACAGTGGCCGGGTTGGGGATCTTTGTTTTGCTATCCAGCCTAGAAGTGGCCAGTTTTTTCTTGGATGTTGGCATCTGCCATTCATTTTGTCCAGTGTTTGCCTGGGAGGAGCGCCTGGAGCTCTGTTCTGCCTGCTTTGATGAACTTGGGAGTGCTTCAGTTCAGATGTTGCTATTTTGAATGTACAGGAAGTGATCACTTTCCTGGTGATGGAAAAAGCCCTGTTGGGACAGAAGGCATTATCCTACTGGGCATCGGCAGGACTGATGCCATGCTGTAGTCAGTCAGACTTGAGAGGGTTCTACCTTGATGTAGAATTTTTGTGCTTTTATCTCATCTTTGAATTTGACAGTTTTGGGGTGGGGTTGATGTCCATTCTTTTAAAGAATAACTCCTGCAGAGAAAATACTTCCTCCATTTTAGAAGTAAGTGTTGTTTGTGTATTCTAGGTCCTCAATAAAGGTTTGTCATGGCGAATAGATGGATGAACGAATTTGGGAGTATCCATCAGATTATGTTATACCCTGATCGCTCTTCTGTCCTACAGCTGTTTTGTTGGACCTGTTGTGGTGTATTAGGTCAGGATTTTTTTGATACCAAATAAAAACGATAGGGGTAAAAGTACTTTTTAAAGCAGAGTACTTTATAATTGTCACCTAACTGATCATGGGTGAGTCCATTCAGTAAATAGGAAAGACTGAATTTTTATTTTATTTATTTTTTTAAAAGATTTTATTTATTTATTTGACAGACAGACATCACAAGTAGGCAGAGAGGCAGGCAGAGAGAGAGAGGAAGGCATGCTCCCTGCTGAGCAGAGAGCCCGATGTGGGGCTTGATCCCAGAACCCTGAGATCATGACCTGAGCCGAAGGCAGACACTTAACCAGCTGAGCCACCCAGGTGCCCCAAGACTGAGTTTTTAATAAATACTTTGATGTTGTACTGTTGTCACTCAGTGAGACAGCCTATCTTTTGGCATGGAGACTCCAGCTCTTTAACTTAGCCTACATATTTGGTACTACTTAGCATTATTTTGACTATTTTGGAACACTGTCCTGCTCCAAGTGTTTCCTTAGCTATGGTAGGCACGTTTCTTATCTGAAAATTACAAATGCATTGTGTTGATAGTTTCTGCCTTCGTGTCTGTCTTCTATATAAGCCAGTCATACTTGAGCAGATAGATAACTGGATTTCAGCTAAAGAAACATTGAATAAATTGTCTTTGAGCATCTGTGTCTTCATAGAATTTGCTGTCCAATAAGGCTGCTGTCACAGGAATAGGTGATTACAGTCCAATGTATTATGTGCTACAGTAGAAAGATGGGGAATCCTAGGAGCAGGTCTATCTGGTGGTGCAAGAAGACTTCTCAGAGGTGGTGGTCCTTGAGCTGAGCCTGGAAGGGAGAGCAAAAGTTTAGTGAGTAGATGCTAGAGGAGTGTATTTTAGACGACTGCAGTGTCCAGTTGGAGGTTCTGCTGAGACAAAAAAAAAAAAAAAGATTGAACATTGGATTCTTTTTTTTTTTTTTTTAAAGTTAAACTAGTTTTATAGTGTTGGCTGATTTTAGGTAGAAACTACACAGGCGTGAACAAGATAAATTCATTCTCTCTGTTGTGACTATAATATAAACATTTACTCTGTTGTTCCTGGTTTTCAAAGGGACCTTTTGATACTTTCTTGGCCAGAAAGCATTTATTAATGACACAGTCCAGATCTGAGCTGACTCTTGGGAAGCCAGGAGAAAGAGAAGGAGTACATTTTTCACGACTATTAATTACAATAGTTTCTGTTTAGAAAAAAAAAATGCCTGTTATATACCAGAAATTCTACACAACTGTCTTCTTCCCCTCACAAAATGTCTGTGAGATAGGCGTTGTTTATTCTTACTCGCAGCTGTGGAAACCAAGGTGGGGATGGTGGGGGACTTGCACATAATTAATAAGTGGCAGAAATGGGATAAGAGCCCAGGGCTGTCTGACTCCAAAGCCTGTGTTCTTTCCACTGAGAACAACCTCAGCAAAACCCCAGAGTTTGGCAATTGAGATTCTACAGGAGAATAAACTTGCTGAAACAGAGCACGAGTTGGAGGTAGTAGAAGATAAGCTTTGATCTAAAGAAGGGGCAGGAAGTAGATGTACCTTGGAAGGTCCCGTGCACTTAGGCTCCGAGGATGGTCAGGAGCCTTTGAGAAGTTTCGATGGCACGACGCCACGCATACTGGCAGGCTGTCTTTCACAGGACAGGGGCATTGCGCCACCCTTGTCAAAGAAGGAGTATTTGGACAAGCTAAAGAATACTTGGCATTTAGGAAATTTCATGTAGGCATAAAATTGCAAAGTCATAGGCAAAACATCCCTTTGGTGTCAAAGATCAAGACGTGAAATTTTGTGTTGCAAAAACGTGACTGGTCATGGCACTGATTTTGCTTTTACCCTTGTAACACTTCAAGTTTGTAGATGTTGAGGTTGATAAGCATTTTTGTGTGGTGAGTGAAGAGCCGTGTTCTCTGCTGAAGAGTTCACAGGCCTGGGGAAGTGTGGGAGGATAGGTATGAGAAAGGCCCTTCCCTCAGACAATGCAGGGGGTCTGCTCTAGGATGCCACCTTGCAGCTTAGGAACCGATCCCTGCCTCTTCCGGTGTGGGACATTTCGGAAGGCAAAGGCTAATGGCCTTGATGAAAAGACTCAAAGTTTCTCATCCTTGCAATGGCAGAGGATGAAGCCCCCTGAGTCTCTTGAGAGTTGACTGTCAGCCAGAGCTGTCCTAGAGCTTTCATTCTTTCACTAATTGTTTTTGGTGAACCTTGGTCTCTTTTCGCTCTTGGTGTTGCAAATTTGACTTTTATAAGATGATTTACTATAATTTAGTTCTTGCAGTTCTATAAAATTATAGGTTTATAAAATGGTTTCCTTTCATTCAATCTGGGGAACGGTAAACATTATCCATTCTTCTTTTAGCCTCTTTGAAGGTTCCCTTTAGCTCATTTGAATGGAAGGACTTAAAGCACTTTCCCTAGAGAGGGAGATGGGTGAGTCATTCCCTGCAGAGACCCTGCTTCCAGCTTTCTTTGACTGCACACTTTGCACCAGTTAAATGCGTAGCTTGTCATGCTGACGCATTTTTTTCTGCATAGTTCAGCTTTGATACTTTCTGGGAAATAGCATCAAATATCTCCCTGGAAAGAGATAAAAGGTTTTCCTCCTTTCTCTTTTCAGGCAGGTGTCTTATCAAGTAGGGGAGGACACTGGCTGACAGAATTCACTATTTTTGTCCCTTTTTGCCCTTGTTTTTAAGACTCTTGTCTCTTGAACCTTACCCAGTCTTGGCTTATCCTCCAGTTTTTACCCTGTTCTTCCAGGAAGTAACAGTCTATTATGAAATGTTCATAGCCTAGCTGTGAACTTGATTTGTGAGTTCCTAACAGCTAAACATTGTTGAGTTTACCATCTTAATACTTTTGGTTCAGAATCTCAGAGTATAAAAGGATAGTCAGCCCTAGTAGGAGGTATAATAAGTTGTGGTAGACACAAATATTTGCTGGAAATAAAGTGCTTCCCTGTAAAAACAATATGTGATTTGTAAGGCTCAAAGAGAAAGAGGCTTCCCCTCCCCCCACTTTGATGCTTATTAGCATCCGTAAAAGATGATGTGAAAGGTGACATCATTTCTCCTAGTCACTCTGATTTTTCTTCTCAGGCCCAGATTTCCAAAATTTGTTTAGGAAAAAGGCAGGTCAAAGTTGATATTGCTGCCTTCATACTGGTGGTCAGATGATGCAAAAAGCGGCCTTTCTTGGGGCACCGACTCATTAGATTAGTGTCCGACTCTTAATCTCGGCTCAGGTCTTGATCTCAGGATTGTGAGATCGAGCCCTGCATCGTGTTCCTTGCTGGGTGTGGAGCCTGCTTAAAAATAAACCAAAAACAAAAAAAAAAACTCCAAAAAGCCCCCCACCAAAACTACCTTCCTGGAAACTGCATTACTAAAGGACTCAATTTAGGAAATGCATTGTTAAATATTAATTAAAATGCAGAGAAGATTCGTATTTCTATATGAAAATCATCAGTTTTCTGAAACCCAAAAGGTTATTTGTAAGGAATACCAGATATAAATATGTCTCTAATGAACTCGGCCTTGGCCAGGACCTCTGTTTGTGGCCACCATCATTGTATGTAGACCAGAAGGAGTGCGCTTTCCCAAAAGGTGACACACAATTGCAGCTGAGTCTTTCCTCAGGGTACCCCCCCTCCCGCTTCTCCCCTAAATGCTTCTAGCATTACGGGTTTGGTTTCTAATCTTATTCTGCTGTGCAAGCTGCAAGAATGTCAGGTTTTTCTGACTCTTCCTCTGCCTCCTGATTACCCTTTTAAGCAGTGCTGATTGCAGGAAATTGCTGTGGTGCAAGGCGGGTGTCACAACACGCAGTGATTAAAGCCTGCATGTGTCATTCACTGCCTGATTGAAGTAATCACACAGAGGGGAAGAGCAGATGAAAAACCTGCTAAATGTGCAGAGGGGGGCTGCTTCTCATCATGTGGTTTAAGGATTTTGAGTTAAAGAATCAAAATTCGTGTGAATAAGACTTGTGTTTTCAGTCATTTTGTTTCCTTCTGAGTCCTCAGTACTAAGCAGGCTCTCGGTCTAGGGACATTATTTTCCTAGGGAAAACAGCTTACTGCCTTTTACCAAGTGCAGGGTCCCTTGTATACATGACTGCAGGATAGTGGTTAAGCAAATCAAGGGGAAGATCCTAGAATACAAGCGGAACACGCAGGAGAGACTAAAAGGAGGAAAGTCCTGAATAGCTCAGCCCTCCAAGACTGCCCCCCCCGCACCCCCCCACACC